CATGCAGATCCAAGCGACACCGACAAAAAAAAAAAAACAATTACAACTTGGCTTACTGCATGCTGTTACAGTGGTAAAGTTTCATCGGAAAAAAAAACAATATTTTTTTAAAATTTTGAAACAAAGATTTCTGTCACATTTTTGATATTCAATAATTAAGATTAAAAGAAAAATGTATGAATGATCATGGAAAAATATAAGAAAGGATTATAGAAAAGATAAGAAAGGAAGGATGTGAAAAAGAAGTATTAAATTAACTGATTTCGACTGTTAAGGAAATTTTTCATCGGGATCTTTTCAACTGCTGTTGGGTCTTACCGCTGCAATAAGAGGTGCCGCTGTTGCCTTAAAAAAAGTCTGTGGTTCGACTCCGCCAATGTTACAACCAGTCCCTCTACGATTCGTTCATTCACTGGTGAACTGATGAACTGAATTTTCATCGAAAAAAAAAACATTTTTTTAAATTTTAAAACAAAGATTTGGTTCGACTCCGTCAATGTTACAACCAGTCCCTCTGCGATTCGTTCATTCACTGGTGAACTTTTGAACTGAAGTTTCATCGGAAAAAAAAAAACGATGATTATAGCGTATGCTATAATAATCAATAGCAACAACTAAAATGAAAATCAAAATGACTGTATTTAGTCAAACCCAACCATCAGCTTGCTTCTAGTCAATCCTCGGGAAAGAATGTCATCGACAGCTTTCTCAGCGGGTGATCGGTCGTTGCTGGCACGTTGTGCTACTTACCACAGAGGAGAGCTCTGACATGCAATGTAAATAGAGCCATTTTGATTTTCATTTTAGTTATTGCTTTTGATTATTATAGCATGCGCTACTCTCAGTGCTCACTACTTATTAATTAATAACGTTAATTAGGGCATTATGCATTGCCATTCAAATTTCTGATGTGCCGTGGTCGGGCAAAGAGTGATACCTGTCGCATCAAATCGAGCGATCGCGCAGCATCATCGGCCATATCGCTTTTATTCCTCCTGATCGTCTGCTTCAACGAATTCACTTTTGCGTTCGTTCCCTCACCCAGCGACGCCAACAAACCCTCCAGGATTTCTAGGCGCAAATTCATCTTGTTCCCATTACCGTTCCCGGTACTCGTACCCTCGAACATTCTTCACCAACGCAGCAGATCCGGCCGACCTGACAACAAAAAATACACGATTGCGACAAAATCAAGCTAATGGCCCTTCTGCAACAGAACGCCCCACCGAAGTAATGTAAAGAAACAACACAGCGGGCTATCTGGTCCCGCACTTTGCTGAAAAACCAACGCTTGAATGTGGCGCAGTACGGCCGTGCCGAAGGCCCATCCGTCAAGTGCACTGCACACGAACTTCAGCTCTGCGAACGCTGCTTTACTGCTCACCTCAAAGGTACCGCAGATCACCTAGCCATTCCACAGCATATGTGATTAAGCCATCTAAGGAAGCCAAAATCAATAATAGTAAACCACAATCACAACTGATACCAGCACAGACTTCCAGCCGAAAAAAAAAGACCCCACTACCACTCGCCAAAAAAGGCAATTACCATAACTCGGCTCGTCTCGACTGGTCTCATACACAAGCCGCAAAAAATTTTTTCTACCGACGGCAGGTAGGACTGCCCCATGGCGGATGGCGGCAGTTTCAATGTGGGGGGTGGAAGTGAAGGTAGTATGTGGCGGGTTTCGTTGGAGGCAGGGAAGGGGGCTTGGATAGGTGAATATAAGGACTAACTGGCGTAGGTCCTTTGCCGATTGACTAAGTAACGTACATTCGAAAGGAGACGGGAGCGGTGAAGAACGGAAAGAATGGGGAAGTGTGCTCCTGGGACTTCCCTTTTTATGAAACTGATGCTTAGGAAAAGCTGTTCCACAGAAACCCGTCATTAGGCTTTCCTATTTATGAAACTGATGCTTAGTTAAAACTGAGAGCGAATTAGTTCCATGAAGTGGACAAAAACGGGGTAGAATGGATGCTTGGGAATGAAGTCAGCCGTTGCTCCGGTGAGATTTTGAAGACAAAGAAACAAAGATATAACTGTTGTGCACAGGTGCAAACTGCGAGAGGCAACACTGTGGAATTGTCTGCAGTTCTTGTCTAATCCAGCCGGACTTATTTGCCGTCAGCTTCATCTAAGCATAAACTTCAACTTACTTGCCCTCAGCTTCATCGAAGCATAAACCTCATAAATGCAGGGACTGTTTACTAAAGACGAGTTTTTGCAGGACAAATTCTACTCGCACAAGCTCAGTTTTTATTTGCTTTTGGGTACAAACCTCAGTTCTTTGATTTTGCTTTTTTTTCTTTTTATTCACAAATTCACGTTTGTTTTAATTTACTTTTCTTTGTAATGCTATGTTGGTTTATTTTCCTCTTTACTGCTATCTTCAGTTCTTGCTTCGAACTCCTGACTAGTATCTTTTCTCCCTCCTGTGTCCTGTCCCCAATTTCTGCTTCCGCACCGGGGCACCCGACCTCCAACCACTGTCACCGTTTAACCAGCAACTTCATTCCTCTCCGCTATCCTAGCCTCAATCGCGCCCTCTAGGCTGTATCTGGGCAACTATCATCCACTACCCCCAACTACGACCAACCCTCCCATCCATCATCCTTTCCTCCTTCCCACGCCTCCTCCCCCCGCCCCCCACGCGATCCAGTCGCCACACACTGCGAAGCGATACCCTGCGCGTCTGGCAAAGTTCCAACGAGCTGCGCCACGAAATCGTGTTGGCGGAGATGTTAGGGAAAAGCGCTGGAAAGCACAAGCACCACAGATCATCAGTCAAGCCGAGTTTTTATGCGTTTTTGCTGTGCAGCGCCCCAAGTTTCAGCCCTTCCCTCCCCCAGCTTTCCTGGTTGCCGAGTTGAAAGTGGGTCACAAAATGCACTCGCTTTCCGAACACACACACACACAGACAGCCTCTCGACAATATGCGTACACACACACAGACAGCCTCTCGACAATATGCGCTTTTGCTGGCACACACGCACACACACACTCACAAACACACACACAGGCAGCCTCTCGACAATATGCGTTTTTGCTTGCACACACGCACGCACACACACACTCTCACACACACACACACTCACACACACACACACACACACACACACA